GGATTTTGTTTAGCTGTAAGCACCGCAGGTAAAGCCACCTGAGGGTTGGGGATGAGCACTAAGGGATGTGTGTGTGTGTGTGTGTGAGAGAGAGAGAGAGAGAGAGAGGGAGAGAGAGAGAGAGAGAGATTAGCCTTTTCCAATTGTACTTATTCATGACAGTTTCCTCCCCACTTTTATCAGTGAAAAAGCAAAAATAATATACTATATATAGTTGTAGTTCAATAAAGCATTAGAGGGCTTCCAGTTAATCAGCTGGTTTGTAGGTTGCTGCAGGCAGAGTACTTGCTGGGCCTCTTAAGATTCTTAAGAATCCTCACTTAACATCCACTCCTTCAATGCTCATTGTAAGTTATGCCAGTGCTGAATGAGGGGGTCCTCATAATTGTGGCTCTTGCAGCCTCTCCACAATCACATGATCACAATTTAGGCACATGGCAACCAGTTACAACTTCATAACATCCCACAGTCACATGCTCACCATTTGCAGCCTTCACTGCTGGCTTCCACAACAAGCAAAGTCAATGGGGAAGCCACCAGGAGGTTGCAAATGGTAATTACGTGACCGTAGGATGCTGTGACCATGCAGGGTTTTGCTTTCATGTTGGCAAGTGAGATTGGTGGAACTGCCATCATAAATTGGTGCAGTCACATGACATTGTGTCTTACGACTGCTTGCTTGGCAACAAAAGAGTTCCTGGTCCCAGTTACTTTCAATAAGCAAGGATTACCTGTATTGTAGCAGAAGTCTACAGTACTATCTGGCTGGATTGACGGTTAGAAGTGAGACTGATGATGCTGGGTCACTCCTAATTCTTTGTGACATTTTACCAGGATTGTCTGTATAACTGGGTCTTAGGGTTCTTGTTAGCCTATCCTTTGTCATCCATGAAAGTATTTCATATTTTGTCTGCTGTCAATGTTTTCCAATTACTTTTGATTTTCAAAGCACAAGGGTCTTCTCCAAGGTTCTTAACTTTAAAGGATAGATAGATAGATAGATAGATAGATAGATAGATAGATAGATAGATAGATAGATAGATAGATAGATGGATAGATGGATGGATGGATGGATGGATGGATGGATGGATGGATGGATGGATGGATGGATGGCGTGGGTGGGTGGGTAGGTAGGTAGGTAGGTGGGGGGTAGGTAGATGTTGAGACTCTAGAAAGAGACAGAGAAGAGCAACACAGATAATTAGGGGACTGGAGGCTAAAACATACAAGAAACCATTGCTGGAATTGGTTATGTCTAGTTTAACGAAGAGAAGGACGAGGGGGGACATGATAGCAGTGTTCCAGTATCTCAGGGGCTGCCACAAAGAAGAGGGAGTCAAGCTATTCTCCAAAGCGCCTGAAGGCAGGACAAGAAGCAACGGATGGAAACTAATCAAGGAGAGAAGCAACTTAGAACTGAGGAGAAACTTCCTGACAGTTAGAACAATTAACCAGTGGAACAACCTGCCTCCAGAAGCGGTGAATGCTCCAACACTGGAAGTTTTTAAGAAGAGACTGGACAGCCGTTTGTCTGAAATGGTATAGGGTTTCCTGCCTGAGCAGGGGGTTGGACTAGATCACCTCCAAGGTCCCTTCCAACTTTATTATTGTTGTTATTGTTATTATCATTGTTATTATTTATTATAGGTAGGTAGGTAGGTAGGTAGGTAGGTAGGTAGGTAGGTAGGTAGGTAGGTAGGTAGGTAGGTAGGTAGGTAGATAACCTTTATTGTCGTTTTTTACTGTGGGCACAATGGCTCACATTAAAAATGAAATTTAGTTGCTTGCTCTCAAATTGTACACATAAGGAGAATATTTGTAGCTCAGAGTTGAATGAAGGTTCCTTGGTGCTCACTGAGCTTGGTTGTTTTTTTTCAGATGTTTCGTTACCCAAATTAGCACTGCTAGTTTGGGTAATGAAACGTCTGCAAGGAAACAACCATCTCACAGATCCCCAAGGGACCCCTCTTAACTTTTCATAGTGTATCCAAAAATGATGGTAGGTTCCAGCAGATACAGCCTTAAAAGAACAGAAGTCTTCCCAAATCCTTGACATTCTCCCTCTCCTGACTTCTGCCCAGACACGTCCTCCATCTGCTGTGCTAATGGTAGATATTTTCACTTCTTTTTCAAGGCTGTAGCATAATATATATCAGTGATGGCGAACCTTTTAGAGACCCAGTGCCCAAATTGCAACCCAAAACCCACTTATTTATCACCGGGTGCCAGGTGGGCGTGGCCACAGTGGTCATGGCAGACTTGGTGGGTGGGGCCAGGGCGGCGGGGGCCAGTCCCTCGCCATCTCCGGGGCACGGCACGCGTGCCCACAGAGAGGGCTCGGAGTGCCGCCTCTGGCACGTGTGCCATAGGTTCGCCACCACTGATATATATATTACTTTTTGATGAATTTCAGTTGTATTTTTAGATGGATATTATACTAGGGCAGTGGTTTTTGTTTTTTTTAATGGATGACTTTTTTAGATATGCTGATGAGAGGTATAAAAATACCGTAAATGTTTCTTCCTGAGCAAGGGAAGCTGTGGTCCACCGTCTTGATTCTATTTCATGCGTCTTTCCCCTACAGCACATCCTTTCTCCTGTTGCATTTTGGCTTGATGCTCCTGCCCCACCCATTGCTTCCTGCTGCCTCATCATTTCCACCCCCTGCTTGTTTTTCCCCTCCCTTCCTCCAGGGGGAGCTCTGAAAAGGACAGCCTGATAGCTAAGAAATGTTCCTACAGCCGCTTCAAGAACTCTGCTGAAAGCGCAGAAGACCCTGAGAAAAGACCAAGTGAGTGATGTCTGATGAGTATGTGTGTGTGTGGGGAGGGGAGGTGTAGAGGTAGTCCTTGACTTAGACTGGTTGCTTAGCAACCGTTTGAAGTTCTGATGGGCCTACCTGGAAGTTAGTTACAACCTGGATTCGAAGCTCCAACATTCAGCCACGCTCCTTGCAGTCACGTGACTGCATTTTGGACACTTGGCACAACCGGACCACATTTATGCCTGCGTGCAGCATCCTGCAATCACACGGCCACATTTTACAATGGTTTTGCCAAAAGCTGGCATTTACTTCCATTTTTTGGCAAAGCCGCCCCCGTTGCAAACCATTAGTTTGCCTAACGACCCCTGCATTTGCTTAACAACCACCACAAAAAAGGTTGCAAAATAGGGTCAGTCACCTGACTAACTTGCTTTATGACCATAATGAGTTATGACCACGATGAGTAGGCTCCATTACTGTCATAACTCGAGGACTACCTGGTAAAAAAAAATATCACATTTATACCTAGCTATCAACTTTACCTGACAAGAGTTTGGGAATATGTAAAGAACTGGTGTGAATGCTTTGGGGAGTGAAGTGTTGAAGGAAAAGGCTTCATCAGGGTCCAGTCCAAGCCAGGAATAAACAACATGGCAACTGCTTTAGAAAGAACGTTGCAGTTTATTGAAGAGAAGAGCCAGACAGAAAGATGGCTCTGGAAGAAAAGAGAAAGAGCACATGTAGGGAGTGGGTTTTATACCCTCTGGGGCTCTTGAGTTTGTTTCCTGTTCCTGTTTGAGGCTTTGTATTTCCTGTGTCGTGTCCTTTGACCTGAGTCTGAGTGTGCCCCCTTGGCATCTGTGGGTTAATCCTGTCTTGTTTTAGAGTTTGGGTGGGGTATGCAGATTTTAGGTGTCGTTGTCTTCTTAATCTTCTAGCTTGAGGCCTCCAATCTTCCTGAATGGATTGCCACATCTGCATTTCTACAGAGCTGGTTTCTGCTTGGGGGAGGAAAACTTGGGGCTATTAAGAAAAACTAGGCCTATGCTTTTCTGCCTCTTTAAGATCCTTTGAGGAAATATAATATTCTGCCCTTTTAATATTTCCTTCTCTGGGGTGGGGCTGACTTCCTACAGAAGTTCGCATTTTGCCTGGGGGAGGCACATTCAAACAACAGATGGGAAAAACAACAGTCCTCAAAACTTGAAACACCCAAAACAAAATTACTTCATTGAAATATGCATTCATCCAAAGACTAGGGCCAAGGGCCAGAGGCTGCCCATGGCTACTGCAAAGGATTCACTTTCAAACAAATACTTGCAAAGTACCCTCAAGTCTCTGAAGATGTTTACCAGACTTGCCTGTTTGTGAAAAAATAATAATTTTCTTTATTCTGAATCATCTTGCGGGTCCATCTAGCCAAGGTAGCATTTTCCCCTGTGTTTAGATTCATTGACTGAGAATGGAAGATGAAACCTCTATGTCAGTGGTGGCGAACCTATGGCATGGGTGCCAGAGGCGGCACTCGGAGCCCTCTCTGTGGGCACACGCACTGTCTCCCCAGTCCTAGGCCTTCAGCTGGGTTTTATAAAACCTTTTCACTTTAGGCCTCCGCCGCTGTGTGCAAAAAAAAAAAAGGTTCAATCAATCAATCAATTTCAACTTCTCGTGGGAAAAAAAAAGATCTCGCAAAGTTGGAATTGATTGATTGAACTTTTTAGCCCCATCCAGTCTGCTGTTACCAAGGCGGCCACGCCCACCCAATGGGCCACACCCACCCAATGGGCCACACCCACCCGCACACGACAATGCATAAGTGGGTTTTGGGTTGCAGTTTGGGCATCAGTCTCTAAAAGATTTGCCCTCACTGCTCTATGTGGAAAACGTGGCTCTCTAATAACTCTGTCATATAATACAGGTGGTCCCCAACTTACAATTCATTTAACGACCATTCAAAGTTACAATTGCACTAAAAAAAAGCCAGTTGCCAAGCATCTGAATTTTGATCACACGATCACGGGGGATGTTTCAAAAGTCATAACTGTGAAAAAGGGTCATAAGTCACTTTTTTCAGTGCTGTGACTTTGAACAGTCACTAGATGAACTGTTGTAAGTCAAGGACTACCCGCATATGATTGAAATCTCATCTGGAACAGTCTTTAACACAAGAGCCTACAATGTATTAGCATGCATTAGTAACATGACATTTGATCCTGGATTCTTCCTACTTTTTTAGGTGATATAAAGAATAACCCTGATTCACCAAGAGCAACTCAGAGATCAGACAGCAAGTAAATCTTCCCCTTTCTGGCTTTATAGTCTCTTTTTATCTTCATTTCCAGGGAATCACAAAAGGTCCAAAAGCTTGGGCCTGATAGTTCAGCCTGCAGTGATAACTATAAGCACAAAACTATAGCAACAACAGCAAATGAACTAGAAAGACTAGCTGTGAAGCGACACTTGGATCGGAACTGAAAAATTGCAGAGCCTTCCCCAACCCAGTTCAGCACCTTTCAATGTGCTGAGCTACAACCACACTTGTGCCAATCAGTTACTACTGTTGTAAAACAGTTCAAGAATCCACTAATATAGCATCCAAATCTGAAGAAGACCCAGCTTTTACTTAAACGTCTCCACTGAAGGCAAATTCACCACATGCTAAGTCAGTCAGTTCCATGGTTGAACAGCTCTTGCCATTAGGAAATGATTCCAGATGTCTTACTAACATCTGTTCCCTTGTCATGTGAGCTAATTGTTTCTTGTCCCATCTTCTGGAGCGACTCTGGTTCATCTTCTGCATGACAGTTTCTGGGTTTTTCTCCCCTTTGGTAATTTCTACTATGGGAATAAGAAAACTAATCCACTTTTTAGCCCATGGATGTCAAGTTAGAAAAGCACTGTAAAAGCTATAAACCTAATTAATTAAATTTATATGCCCACTCAATTCGCCCATGGTGAGTCTGGGCAGCTTACAACATTACTAATCCACAATCCAGCACATACACACAAACACACACATACACAGTTGACGAATACAATCAAACCAGCCACTTGATTGGTTTCATATCAACTTGGGGTCCTCAAGCCTGCTGACCAGGTCTTCGGGGCCTTTCAGAAAAATATCAGGATGGGAGCCAGGCTTTCTATCTCCAGAGGAATGATATTCCACAGGGTGGGGGCCACCACAGAGAGGGCCCTTTTTCTTGTTCCCACCAGAAGTACTTCCCTAATAATTGGGACGTGCAACATGTCCTGCCTTCCTGCTCTGGTGGGCCAGTTTTGTACAGTACATCCACAATCATACATCTGTATAATTACCTTCATGGTTTTTTTTAATCTTCCCTGATCTATCTAGATAACTGCTCTTTTTCTCCCTTAGACTTAAAGGCACTGCTCTGAGCCATCCCCATGATCCAGAACCAATGATCATTAGGCAGATGGAAGAGGCAGCCCAGGTTCCTGAAGAATCTTCATCTCCCAAGATGGATGATTCAGCCTTTTTGGAAAAGACAAAGACCTCCAGTGCTTTAACAGTCCCTTACAAGAATGCCATTGGCAAAAGTAACCATCCTGTTCCCAGGATTCCCCTGAAGCAGAATAAGGGGCTGTACAATCTGGCCCCAAGCTCATGGCAGATGAAGCCACTGTGGATAGTAGCAGGAAGTCCTTATGAAGCCAAGTGGATCCACCACAAGTATCTGTATTGCAATACCAGACCTTGGTAAGGGAAATGGACCAAAAACTTGGCTGTTAACAGATAATGTTGTCTGTAAGAAGTAGGACAACATAGCCAACAGCGTTGCTAAAGTATTAGTTATTGAAGTCTTCCTCTTCTCCGTTATTAGATCTGACTAAGGGAGCAGCATAACTTTCCTTAGGTTTGCTTCTTTAGATCAGAGTAGAAGCCATTTAGTATTGTTCGCTACTTACTCCATATACAGTATTGGGGTGGTGAATCTGGTCCTCTAGAACAGAGGTAGGCAATCTTGGCTCTTTTATGACTCGTGGACTTCAACTCCCAGAATTCCTGAGCCAGCATGGCTCAGCTTGGAAACCTCTCCCTTTCCCCTCAGCATGGCTGGCTCAGGAATTCTGGGAGTTGAAGTCCACGAGTCATAAAAGAGCCAAGGTTGCCTACCCCTGCTCTAGAACAACAGTTCCCAAACTTGGCAACTTTCCAAGGCAGCTATGTTGGCTGGCCAGTTCTGGGAATTGAAGTCCACACATCTTAAAAGTTGCCAAGATTGGAAAACCCTGCTCTAGACGATGTTAAAGTACAACTGACAGCAGCTCCAGTTAACATAGTCAATGATGAAGGGTCCAGGAGTTGTAACTCAAGAGACCTCACACCTGCCTGTATTTTAAAGGTACGGTCTTGTTTGCCTTATGCTAGGTTTTTTTAAATTTTGAAATCCTTCTCATTTCTTCTTTGCAACTGGAAGTTCGTTTAATTAGCTTTTACTGTATCTGAAATTGTATTTGAAATTCCTTCCCCCCCCTTCCTTTCTTTCAAAATTTGTGATCCAAATAGAGGACTCCAAATGAGAATGAAAGCAAAACAGATTTATTAGACCATCATATGCTGTAAACTTGGGAATTTGACCCACCTGGAAACTTGAATGCAGATTTAAAACATTGTTTAAAATGTGATAGAACTGAATTAAGTTATCTTCACTTGGAGATATTGTGCCATGCTGAATGTACTTAAATGTTAGGAAAGGACAGGCTAGAGTCCTGTGCTTTTGTCTTGACAAATAAGAAAATGTTGGAAGGGATATGTGCAATAAAAATATCCAATTTTTATCAAAATGGATTTTAGCACTTTGGGGTCGAAATTCAGATCTCATTCTAGTTCAGTTTATTTTAATTCTCAATTACACGATGTGGTTGGAAAAGGTTGTTTGAAATAAAACTGGCATTTCTCATTCTTCGTTGATCCTTGTCAGGTCCCTTTAACTAATGAGAGATTTAATAGTAGATGATAGGACAAAATATGCTTATGGGGAAGGGAAGTGTTTTTTTTTAATTTAGGTATGTGTGAAATGTGAAAGTTTATTGTATATTTGATGATTTAGAAGAAGCACATTAAGAAAACAGACATGAATTAGGGATTGTTCTCCATGGAGTTGAAAGTTGATTGATGCGATAAGGGAGTATAGGGCAGACATGAAGCATGAGTAAAGAATGAATGGTATGCTTAGCAGATGATTCAGTTGAAGCGGGACTAAAATTATGAAGCGTAATAATGCCCTTTTAGTTGTTTAATGTATTAATGCAGGGGTGTCAAACTCGCAACGACACGTGGCGTGTCGCAACGTATCGTGACTTTTTTGCCATTGCCGGCAATGGGGTGGACGTGGTTTTGCTATGATGCATCTGGCCTGCGGGCCAGCAGTTTGACACTCTTGTATTAATGGGTGAATGTATTAGGAATATCTTGTAGCAATATTAGAGATGCGTTAGGGTCATCAACACCCACCCACATAGATGTCCCTAACTAATGCATTATACACCTGCACATTTTTGTATATAGTTAAACTTATTTTAAAGACCAAAATATTGAATACATTACAATTCAGCCAAATTAAAAAAGGGGGGGAAGGCCAGAGAATTAATACAATTTGCAGACTGTCTAGGCCAGTGGTGGCGAACCTATGGCACGGGTGCCAGAGACGGCACTCGGAGCCCTCTCTGTGGGCACACGTGCCATTGCCCCAGCCTCGCCTCTCCCCACGTCCTCCTCCTCACCAGCAGCCCCCCTGGAGGAGAGTTGCCCCCGAGCGTGGCCCACACGGAGCAGTGCAGCCAAGGACATGGTACCCAGGCAGCGTAGACAAGACTCTGCCCTCATGCCCCATCCCGCACAGTTGATGCTGCGGGGCGCGGGCAGAGGGCGTGGCCATGGTGCTGCTGGGCTGCCTGGGCGATCTGTGGTGGGCCCTGGAGGCGGTGAGTGGCCCTGCGGGCAGGTGGGGTAGGGGACAGGGTGGGGGTGGAGCAGGGGCGGGGCAGGGGGTGGAGCGGGGGCGGGGCCAGTTTTGGGGCACGGTCTCTAAAAGGTTCGCCATCCCTGGTCTAAGCAGAACTAAATCAGCTAACGGAGATTGCCAGTAGTAAATCCAAATCCTTCTCAAGTTAATCATAAACAAAATTTGGCAATCTCCCTATATATTTCTTTAATGGGACCACAACTATCTCAGTTTGGTCACCTTGATAGTATAATGTTTGTTTTATTACTTTTAACCTTTTAAACTGCTCAGAATCTTTTTTGACAAGCGGTCAGTCTGAAATGGTGCTAAATGAATGAATAAGTAGGCTTTTTTCTAGTAACAAAAATAGAGAGTTCTCACCAGATCGGTCACAATGGAAAATTAATCGGTTGCAACCATTGACAAAAATAATAATGCAATAGTGTTTGCAAATTATCTTGACCACGCCATCCGGACAGCAGCCCGGGCAATCTTGTGGCAGTATATTAACCATCAGTGGCAAGGCAGTCTAGCTAATGGAAATGTTCTTTTTTTTATGGGACAGAAAGGATATTATAATTAAGTATGGAGAGAGGTCTACCACAAAGATCACCATTGTTGTTAATCCTACGCAGCTCCAAATCAAGGGCTCACTGCTTAATTTCCAGGATGACACTCTCGTGCTCTGTCCTCAGCAAAAATTTGATTTTTTAAAGGAAACTTGTGCTTTCTTTTAAAGAAGAGGCAAATTTATCAGCTAGGATTTTTTTTGTAAAATGATGGATGACTTCAGCCAAAAGAGTTGTGTTTTGTCAGAGAACACAGTCTCAACATTCCAAATGTAGTCTTTTGAGTCTTCAGAAAGGGGACAAAGGTTAGCAGAGATTGCAGCAAAAATTCTATGTGAAGAGTAGATGACAGGAAACATTTTGGCGAATAGCTATACAGGTGGTCCTTAACTTAGGATCACAATGGTGACCAGAACTTCCATTGCTAAGTAAAGCAGTTAGGTGGGTCATGCCCAATTTTATAATCTTTTTTAGCTGTGGCCATTAAGTGAATCACACAGTTGTTAAGCAAAAGGTATTTCTGTTGATTTTGTTTGTCAGAAGCTGGCTAGGAAAGTTGCAAATGGAATCAAATGATCCTGGGATACTGCAACCATCATAAATGCATGCCAGTTGCCAGGTGCCATAATTTGATCATGTGACTGCAGTGGTCATAAGGGCAAGAACCAGTTGTAAGTCTCCTTTTTCAGCACCATTGTAACTTTGAATAGTCACTCCCATCCTGTTCTACTCATGTTGGAAGCATCTAATGCAGTGGTGGCGAACCTATGGCATGTGTGCCAGAGGTGGCACTCAGAGCCCTCTCTGTGGGCACGCGCACCCTAGCCCCACCTCCCCCCACGGCCCCACCAGCAGACCCCCCCGGAGGAGAGTCACCCACGGGCACAGCCCATGCAGAGCAGCGCAGCCAAGGACATGGCAGCCGGGCAGCAGGGACAAGACTCTGTCCTCGCGCCCCGTCGTGTGCAGATGATGCTGTGGGGTGTGGGTGGAGGGCGTGGCCGTCATGGCACTGCAGGGCCACCTGGGTGATCTGCTGCAGCGGGCTGTGGAGGCAGCGGGTGGCCCTATGGGTAGCCGGGGGTGGATGGCGGGGCGGTTTTTGGGCACTCGGTCTCTAAAAGGTTCGCCATCATTGATCTAATGCACTTCTGGGTTGAAAGGATTAGCCAGTGACACCACTTTGCCTGGGTGACGCCCAGTTAAGGGGTTCTTTTATGGCCCCGTTAATGTTCTCACCGAAGTGGTACCTATCTATCTACTTGTGATTGCTCACTTTCAAACTGCTAGGTCAGCGGGAGCTGGAGCAGATGACGGGAGCTCACCCCCTCCACACAGCAGCACTCGGGTCTGGAATATGGGCTTGCTAATTGTCAACCCAGCATCCTAACTATGTGAGCCACTGTGCTCCTTGAACAGTCACCAAATGAACTGTTGTAAGTCGAGGATTACCTGTAATGCACTTTTTGGGAATGAGCAAGCCCTCCCTCCCCCATCCATTGTTGCAATGTATTCTCAGACTTTCCAACAGGTTGTGTACCTTTCAAATTTTCCATGCAGTAAGAATCTGATTATAGATGCTTGTTTCATACCAGACTGAGTTTAAGAACCTTGGGCGCAGGAGAGGGAGGGAGGGCAGGAGTTATGGCTATTTCAAAGCACTGTAAGGAAAAAGGAAGCTGTATCTTGCCTGCCTTTGAGCCAATCACTCTAATTTTTCTATCTACATCCAAAATATTTATTACATTTACACCTACCCTCAATCAGAATAGCCCCACAGCCATTTATAAATATAAACAGAATTAAAACAGTAGAAATTAAAAATGAATAGCAATTAAAACAAAATCAGACTGCCCAAATCCAATGATCAATTAAAATAAAAAAAGGATTTTACAGGTAGTCCTCGACTTACAACAGTTCATTTAGTGACCGTTCAAAGTTACAGCACTGAAAAAAGTGACATAACCATTTTTAGTTACAACCTTTGCACCATTCCCCATGATCATGTGATCACAATTCAGATGCTTGACAACTGATTCATGCTTATGACCATTGCCATGCTCCAAGGTCACGTGATCCCTTTTTGCAGCTTTTTGACAAGCCAAGTCAATGGGGAAGCCAGATTCACTTAAAAACCCTGTTACTACCTTAACAACTGCAGCGATTCATTTAACAGGTGTGGCAAGAAAGGTCGTAAAATTCATTTAATAAATGTCTCATTTAGCAACAGAAACGTTGAGCTCAATTGTGGTTGTAAGTTGAGGATTACCTATATTGTAGAATGGCTTGGTGTTTAAGGAAAAGTATTCATCGTGGTTCAGTCCAAGCCGGGAATAAACAACATGGCGACTGCTTTAGAAAGAAGGTTGCAGTTTATTGAAGAGGAGAGCCAGACAGAAAGATGGCTCTGGAAGAAAAGAGGAGTGAGCACATGTAGGGAGTGGGTTTTTATACCCTCTGGAGCCTTTTGTTTGGAGTTGTTCCTGTGGCATGAACTTTGACCTGAGTCTGAATGTGCCTTTCTGGTATTCTGATGGTGGTGGGTTAATCCTATTATGTCCCAAAGGTCATATCCTGCTTCCCTGGGACTGTGGCTGATGCCTCTTAGATTTTTGGTGTGCGGGATTGTTGATTCTAGGGATCTTTCTTCCTAATCCGTTTCATGACTCCAGTCTTTCTGACAAGATTATCACATCTGCAATTCTACAGACTTGGTTTCTGTTTGGGACAGAGAGATTTGGGGGGGGGGTGTCTGCTTTTAAATCCTTTAGGGAAATATATTCTGTCTTTTAAATATTTCCAAAAATATTTCTTTCTGGGGGGGTGTGTGACTTCCCACACTGGGAAACAGCTTGGTCCTTCGGATCCTCCTGAATGCCATCCACGAAGGGCATCACTGATTCAATCATCACTGAAGCAACCTGAAGGTTTTTGCAGTACACAAATATTCCAAGGTTGAAAAAGAAAACAGGATTTAATAATAATAATAATGATAAAGTTGGAAGGGACCTCGGAGGTCATCTAGTCCAACCTCCTGCTCAGGCAGGAAACCCTATATACCATTTCGGACAAATGGCTGTCCAGTCTCTTCTTAAAAACTTCCAGTGTTGGAGCATTCACCGCTTCTGGAGGCAGGTTGTTCCACTGGTTAGTTGTTCTCACTGTCAGGAAGTTTCTCCTTAGTTCTAGGTTGCTTCTCTCCTTGATTAGTTATAATAATAATAATAGTAAAGTTGGAAGGGACCTTGAAGGTCATCTAGTCCAACCCCCTGCTCAGGCAGGAAACCCTATACCATTTCAGACAAATGGCTGTCCAGTTTCCTCTTAAAAACTTCCAGTGTTGGAGCATTCACCGCTTCTGGAGCCAGGTTGTTCCACTGGTTAATTGTTCTCACTGTCAGGAAGTTTCTCCTTAGTTCTAACACAGCCCAGGAGAACTAGGAGAAAATTGAGGGAATGTAATGGAATACGATGGGGGGGGGGAACACCACTGGGTGCCTTTCCACACGGGGTGACATTTCCTTGCAAGCTTCACGTGTAATCCCAGCGCGCTCCCTCCCCGTCCGGAGGTCTCCCTCAATTTAGAGCCCAGAACCGGAAGTCTTGCTGGGGAAAAAAGCAGCAGGACGGCTGACGGGCGCCCTGGCCGACCTTCTCCAGCGCGCAGGCGCGCTGAAGAGGCGTCGCTTGGATCTCGCCAAGTTCACGCCGGGTCCGCGGCTGGCGTACCATTTCCTCCTTCGGTCAAGGAGACTAGAGACGTGCGCCTGCGCAATAGTTAGCGCAAGCGTCGCGCCTGGAAGCCGGTTGCAGTGGCGGCGGGGTTCGCTGCTCGGGGGGGGCTCGCGGCGGGCCGGGGGAGGGGTGGCGCGCGGCGAGGAAGAAGGCCGCCTCGCTCGATCGCGCGCGCGCGCCCGCCATGTACCAGCGGAGCCCGAAGGCGGCCCTGCGCGTGGGGGCCCGCTGCTCCTGGCGATGGGACGGCGGCAGCAGCAGCAGCAGCCCGTTCCGCCTGGGCCAGGGCGAGTCGGCGCGCTGTTGCCACCCGGCGCGGTTGCGGCAGCGGGTGAGTGAAAGGCGGCGGCGGCGGCGGCACGGGCGTGGCCGGGCATCCCCAGCTCCTCGCGGGAAAGAGGAGGCAAAGGCAGGGGCGCCTGCCCCCGCGAGGAGCAAGCTTGTTGGAAAGCGGGGTGGGTAGGTGGGGGAATGGACCGGCAGATCGCGGAGAAGACAGAAGCAATTGGGATCCGTTTAGGCTGAGATCGCGGATCAATCAGTCACCTTTGCAGATCTCCCTTGCGGGGGGATCGGCGGCGCTGGGCTGGACAAAACCTCGGTTGGACCCGGTTAGAATTGCCGGGTTGAACGGAGCAGGATTATAGCCGGTTTTCTAAGGTTTTTCCCGTGACTTCACGCCTCCTCCGGTGCTTCTCCAGTGACAGCTCGCTCGGCGGATCAGTCGAGGCTCTGGTGTCGCTGCAGAGATGTGTAACCTGCGGGTAAAAGCGGTTTTTGTCTACCGCTTGAAAATCTTAGGAGGTGTGGCTGGCCGCCTTTCCAAAAAGTTGCTACTCGGTTGTTGATGTGACCCGAGGGGCAGTGATTAAATCCCGGCATAATACAGGATTAGCTGCATTGAATGAAATTCGTTTTAGTCTGGCCGCTTACACGCCATTTAAAGAGCAGAGATAGTAAAACAGTGGTTCTCAACCTTTTTAATGCCGTGACCCCAACCGGTCGTAAGTTGAGGACTAAACCGGTTGTAAGTTGAGGACTAAACCAGTCGTAAGTCGAGGACTACCCAACCGGTCATAAGTCGAGGACTTTCCCTGCCCGGGAGCGCCGCGCATGCGTGGTTCCGCCCCCCTGTGCCGGCCGAGGCGTAGCTGGCAAGCGGCAGAGACGGAGCAGGCCGACCACTAGCTGGCCCAGCCCAAGGGAGGTAAGGCACCCGCTGGAAAAGGGGGAAAAAAATGGCGGACAACCTTGCTTGGCGACCCCCGTGAAATGGTCGATCGACCCCAAATGGGGTCCCGACCCACAGGTTGAGAACCACTGTAGTAAAAGAAGAAGAAAAAAAATAGGGCAAGGTCTTGCATTGGAATGTATGAGATGCGTTTGAATATTAGTATTGTGTTTCATTCCTGTTTCTAGTCAAATCAGCATACGAGTTATAAACCTCAGTCTGTACTTGCTTTGCGCGCTCTAAGGTTTATTATTATTATTATTTTTTGGCCTGCAAAAGGACTGCTGGATTCTTGTCTTATGTTAGATTTGACTTTCATTTTCATGAGCCAAGTTTACAATCTTATTTTTATTTTATTTTATCCTGTACTATGCAGAAATGTTATTGCATTGACATCCCATAGTTCTGAGAAGATTTCTTATCTCAAAATAGAGTAAATTATGGCCTGTAACTTATCTTGTGGTTGGTCCTTAATAAAACAAAAACAAAAAAAAACCCCAAACAACCAAACAGGGGATGTATTTAAATATCAAAGATTTTTCTTAAATTACCCAAATTCTGTTCTGTAAAAGAATGAGTTCTGTGCTCGGCAGGCATTACTCGGATAAAAGCAAACTTCCTTTTCCGTGAAAAAGGCTTGTCAAGGTGCAGATCTATCAGGTGAGATCAGACAGCCCAGAGATAATACGCTGAGGGAAATGCTGCTTCCGCCTTTCAGGAGCGCCAAGGACTGAATACGTTTTTTTTATCATTAGGTTCATTATTCTGAAATCTCTCTCCCTTTTTTTTTTTTTAAGGATGTGGCTGCCTCCTCGGATAAATTACCTCCTGAGCTTGTCTCTTCCACATCAGTAAGACTGACTTTTCACTCCCTATTCTCCAAGAAGCTGTCAGAAGCTACCCCTCGCCATCCGCCTCTGCCTCAACCTTCTGTAGAAAACTGTACTGTAATCAATTATGGACTGAAATTCAGCAGCCCGGAGACTAGGCCCCTTTTCCAGCCAACTGTCCCTTCCCCTCCTGAAAGCATGGAAGATGCCATCATTTTGGAGAACGGGAGGCAAGAGGATAACTTAAGGGTACGACCTAGAGAAGGACTGGACAGTACTTCTTTAGACTCTTTGTATAGTCTCTTTCATGGCTGGCCGTTGCCATCACCTTACCAGACGCCTGAGGCAGCACCCGCATCCCTCGCGCCTTTCCGAGCCACATCTGGGGCTCCCTCCCCGGTCACTTCTCCTACCAGTAATAACCGCGACATGGAGGAGCATCTCGAAGTCATGCAGCAGAAATTACGGGAAGAGGTACTCAACGTTGCTATTTTGCTACTTGGGGAACTAGCTTTCTTTTCCGTTGTAGAATGGTAGGGCTGGCTGGGAGACTGCATGATTGTGAACTTGGCATTGGATAAAAGACTTGTGTGTGAGAGAGAGAGACACAGTTTTGTCAAGTGTAGTTTAGGAAAAAAAAAAGAGCTGGGGTTTGCAGAGTGCTCGGTGGTCCATTGTTTGTTCTGTGATTTAAGCAACTCCTAAGAAAGAGGAGATCTTTTCTGATCTCATCTGTTCATATATACCAGTGATGGCGAACCTTTTAGAGACCCAGTGCCCAAAAACCGCCCCCCGCCCCTGCTCCGCCTCCTGCCCTGCCTGCCCCACCCAGCCACGGCCACACACCGCCTCCATGGCCCACTGCAGCAGATCGCCCAGGCAGCCCTGCAGCACCATGGCAGCCACGCCCTCTGCCCGCACCCCGCAGCATCATCTGCATGCTATGGGGCGCCAGGGCGGAGTCTTGTCCCTGCTGCCCGGCTATGTCCTTGGCTGCGCTGCTCCATGCTGGCCACGTCTAGGGGCAACTCTCCTGCAAGATGGCTGCTGGTGAGGAGGGGGCCGCAGGGGGAGGCGGGGCTGGGGTGACGGTGTGCATGCCCACAGAGAGGGCTCTGAGTGCCATAGGTTCGCCACCACTGATATATACTATTAATTACTCTTTCTTATATAAGTTACATGTTAACAGCCAGGAATGGAAAACTACATATTTTAAGTACCGGTACATTACAATAAGACATGATATTTAGAGTACCTAGTAAATGCGTTCAATAAATTGTTGGTAAGTATTTAATGATGAATTCCTTCTCTGCAGTGCTGTTGTTTTTTAAATTGTAAAATCATCCTTTCTTTTTATAAGCGGTATTCAAATTGTTTACTGGCTTGGTCAATTACTCTGCTACCTCAAGATACAACATGTGAGTTAGTTATAATAGATCCCAAAATCCCAACATCTTTTTGGATGGCTTTATGGGCAACTACATATCTTAATGTTTTGCTTTGGACTGGTAAAAGAAGCTCTACAAGTATTAGGAATCCTCACTATCATAAATTGGAATAATCTTTAAAGGAACAACAGAATGTTTGTCTTGTGGCCTGTTTAGCCTTTTGGTGCACCAATGTGGGTTTTTTTTAATTGTAGCACACCTGCATTTCTTAATTATTGGAGAAAGATTAACAATTTTTGCTTTGTAATTGCTTGTTCAATATTTGTAATTTGCAGTAATCCTCTTTGAGTTTTTGAGGTTATAGTGCTGTTCATTGTAATATTTTATAGAAAGTGACTAAGACAATTATTTGAGGAGGCAGTGCTAAACCATGCTAAAAGTCTTGACTTTTGTAATCTGCAGGTAAAAGGATAACAAAGCAGGTGCTTATGTGTTTATTAATGTAAAGAATATTTGACTTCATAGACTAATAGTTCAATGTGTTGTAAAGCAGCTTTGTGTATCTGAAACACCTAAATTATTTTATAGATGGAATAGGGAGGTCTAGAAATTGATTGCACTAAATTTGAAAGCTTGCAGCAACAGGATTTATCTTAAAAAGAGTTTAGTTTCAGTCTTTTCTGCAAGCAGGTTGAAATTTTGGTTTCCCCAAAAATTCCCAAAGGGTCTTGATTTACGCACCTTTATATTCCACCCGTTCCCACAATAGTGAACAATTATTTGTGCAGTTCTAGGGTGCTGATGCATGCACTTGAGGTAAGCATGTAGGATTCCAGCATGTTTTATTAACTGATTATTGATACAACACACATTCACGAATAAAAATAAGACTGTAAAATCTGCACTCCTATTCATGGAAATTGAGGCATTAGAATTTAACAAATAGTAGTTTTTGTCTCTACTGGACAGAATATAGGCCGAAAACTCTCAAAGCAAAATATTGCCAATGTACTGCTGAGAATCTGTGAGCTATAAATTCCTCACTTTGGTTTGCTCTTCTTGTTCTCTCTCCCATCCCTCCAGTTACCAGCCTTTTTTTCGAAGTCTCATGATTATGCAATGTATTCCCAGGACGTAGAATTCATCAATGAGATTCTGCATCTGAAAACACGGTCAGTCTTGAATCAGCGAGGGAAGGTGGGAAGTTACCTGAGGGCTGTCCTTTAATGAATGAGAAAGGTTCCATAATATGGTTAGGGTTATACAGAGGAATTCAGTCTACACTTACGTCAGAGATCTAACCATTGGAGAGCTGGGCAAATTTTTTTCCTCATGAAAAGTTTCCCAGATTTAATTTCAATTTATTGTTGGACCTTGATCTTAGAAGACAGGAAACTGTGGCCAGCGTATCTGATCCACAAAGAAAAATCTGTGCTTATCCCTGTATTCAGTTCTGGGAAGTCCGGGGGGGGGGGAAGGGGATGAAGGGGGTAGAGTTATATAAAATTTGGTGTATTAATATGTTATAAAGAATGTAATTTTTTCTTTGTGAAGAGAAGGTGGTCGGCTAGTACCCCCAAACTGCATCCGAAGGTTGAGGAAAAGAAGGAGGTGGGATGTGTAGGGTAGTTGGAAGAGAAAGAGGAGAGAGGTGTGGGTAGGAGGGGAGGAAACGAAGAGGGAAGTAGGTAGGAAGGGTGAAAGAGAGGGTGGATGCGGGGGGGGGGGGACGACTGCCGATCACCTCTGAAAATATGATATTTAATAGGTTTTCTTTTTTAATGATGTGCACCATATTTGTATTAAGAATTTGTTTATTTGAAAATTAATAAAAATTTGTAAAACACAAAGAAAAATCTTTGCAAAACACACCAGTCATGAGAGAAGGTCATAACTTGCCCTCTTTTCAATATATGTATTTTATTTATTAAATGTGTACGGTATTCTCCTCCCCCACTCCCATTACCCATCGTTGGAAGGGGGGGGGAGTTCTTGTACACCATCTAGCCCTTTCCCCATTTATGGGGACAATTATTAGTAATCATATCCTATATAGCAAGGAAGGTGTGTAATTTTTAATAATAAATTATACAATTTCTTGGCTATATAAAATACGAGTATTAGCAATTGGCATGACAGGAAGGGCAAAAGACCCATCAAGGAAGCATCTGGAATTGGTTTCATAGATTCTGAATGAGTCTAATTGAATTCTTGGTAGCCCTATCCAATAAAGCAACTACCTTATCTAATTAGTGATTTCATGAATAGCACACTGACACTAAAAGAAAACCTGCTAATTTCCCCTCATTCATTTAAGAGCATATTGTAGGAGGCAACTGCATAAACAAAAAGTCTTGGCCCATCACTTTGTACTGATGTGGCATTTTGTCAGTTGCTAGAATACCTACTGAGCTCGCTACTTTATAGTTTTTCTGACAAATAGCTTAAGGACTTTTAAAAGCCGCCGCAATCCCCATTTTATTAGTGGCAAGGCTTGTGTTGTCATATATTTGATTCATTAAAGCTGCCTCCTCTTTCCCCAATATAACTGATTTCTAAAGTTTAAGAGCAGTGCCCCCCCCCCCAATCTTTTGAGTACCAGGGACTGGTTCCCTGGAGAGAGGTTTTTCCATGGACCGGAAGGGGCATGGTTTTGCATGCTGCTGGCATCCTGCAGATGGGGCTTCGCTTGTTTGCACGGCCCAGTTTCTGGCATGTCTCGGCCTGGTGCTGGTCCATGGACCTGGGGTTGGGGACCCCTGGTTTAAAAGTACATAAATGATTTGTGGACTATCCAACATTTCAGGTTTAGTATAAAAAAACTGCTTTGGGGGGAAGGTAGGAGGACAATCCTTGCGCCTGGCCAATATCCTATTAAAACAGCCGTTATTTATTAAAACAGCCGTTATTTTTCTTGAGGTCATTGGAAATTGTCACATGATCCTGAGAAAAGATGAAGCTGCTTTAAGATGTCGCAGACAGATGTGCTGTTTGTGTTTCCAAGCATTTTTGGGGAAATGAAGCACAGCTCTCATCTACAGTAATCTGTACTACCAGTATAGATATAAATTTTATTGTAGTCATTGATGCCTGTTGAAGGCAAAGATTCAGTCTTCCTTTCCAAAGGCTGTGGCTGCACCTAGGCCACTCTTATTTCTCAGAAGGAAATACAAGAAGTCCTCATTTAGTGACCACAGTTGGGACCCACAACTTGGTCCTTAAGCAAACTGGTTGCTAAGTGAATCTGCAAACTGTGCTTTCCTTTGCAGGAAACTGCATCTTCAGCTTTCCTTTACAGACCTGGACAGTTATACATGTGAGGATAGGTCACAAAGCTTCTTTTTCATCACTGTCATAACTGAGAATGGTTGCTAAACAAGGAAGTCTGTAAATGAGGACTGCCTTTACTATACATAGATGGAATCTTTTTCTAGTCAGAGACAGGTTCTCAAAATGGGTTATTTTGATTTAGGTAGTTCTGTACAGATAATCCTTGACTTTTGACCGGTTGCTTAGCGACTGTTCGAAATTGACAGTGTCCCTCCCCCTGGGGTGTTTTACGTTTTTGCTGAAAACTGCCCATAGTGAACAATTGATTCACTAAGTGACTGCAGCGTTTGCTTTGTGACCGCTACAAAAAAGGATTGTAAAATTTGTAAGTTGTCAGTTGTAAGTCGAGGACTACCTGTAGTCCAGGAGTCCCCCAACCTCTGGGCCACAGTCCTCTAGTGGGCTGTGAGGTGTTTGCAACCAGGCCAAGGAAACGGGCGAGCCCACACACACACATCCTCACTTGCGCAAACAGCGGGCAAGTATGTGCACAAGCACTCCAATTTGTGTGAGCAGCAGGCGCGCATGGATGCCGCTCACGCAAATGGAGCTGTGCTCACGAGCGCTTGCCGGCTGCTTGCGCAGAACCATCTTCTCTCTCTCTCCCTCCCGCCCCCCTCCAAGCAAGTCCGCAAAGCCGGAAAGGTTGGGAACTCTACTATAGTCATCTATCTTACATGGGAGCAGATAAGAAATAGATGTAAGAGACATCATTCAATGTGTATGGGAAATCCACGGTGAGAGAATTATTTAAACATGCATCGAGGTACATTTATGTATAGATAAGGAAGTGCAGGTAGTCCTCGACTTACAACAGTTCGTTTCGAGACCAAGTTGCAATGGCACTGAAAACAGTGACAGTTTTCACACTTAACGACTGTTGCAGCATCCCCATGGTCACGTAATCAGAATTCAGACTCTTGGCAACTAACTCATATTTACGACGGTCGCGGTGTCCCAGGGTCATGTGATCACCTTTTGCGACCTTCTGACAAGCCAAGTCAATGGGGAAGCCAGATTCACTTAACAACCCATGTTAAGATGACCTTAACAATTGCAGTGATTCATTTAACAGGTGTGGCAAGACAGGTCGTAAAATGGGGCAAAATTCATTTAACAAACGTCTCATTTAGCAACAGAAATTTTGGGCTCAATTGTGGTCGTACATTGAGGCCCACCTGTAGCCTTTTCTGCAGTGAGGCGATACAGGAATTCCCTATTCGAACCGTTCTCTTCTTACTTCTACCACCAGTGGCCTAACGATATATCAAATGGCGGTTGTGTTGTGCCGTTTTGTGGCCTGGAACTATTTTATTCATATGCACCTAGAGGTGATGAAGGTGACACAACATCCGGAGAACTGGAGCATCCAAGTGCGGTGGCGGATTAGAGGACTGCCTTTCCACATTTTCCTGATGCGTTTCTTCAGGAATAAACCTGAATTTTACAGGTGAGGCGCCTCTGAGGGGATAGCAATAGTTTCTAGCAGGACTACCCGATTCTGTAATAGCTTTGTTCCCTCTGCCATCCGTCTGGTAAACTCGCAAGATTCATTATGCATAATATTGTATTTATTTATTTTTGTCATATTTATGTAGTGTATATTGGAGGTGGTGACCCTTTGAGAGCTGTATGCAACAGAATTTCATTTTAATGTATGCCGATTAGTGTACTTTCAAAGTAACAATAAAGTTATTATTCTGTTATTCTATTCTATTATTCTATTCTATTCTATTCTGTTCCAATTCTAATCTAATTCTATTCTATTCTAATTCTATTCTATTATTTCTAATTCATTCCATTCCTATTCTATTCTATTCTATTCTATTCTATTCTATTCTATTCTATTCTACTCTACTCTACTCTATACTCTACTCTACTCTACTCTACTCTACTCTACTCTACTCTACTCTACTCTACTCTACTCTACTCTAATCCTTAAGGCTGAAATAGAAAAACAGGCATAGAATGCCCTTATCTTACTTCTGTCTAACCCTTTTCTGAGAGATTTCTCTGTGGAGTCCTTGGTGCTCTCTGAGCTTGGTTGTTTTCTTGCGGATATTTCCACTAGCACTAGCACTGGTGATGTTACGTAGTTGGGTAATGAAAGGTCTGCAAGAAAACAACCAAGCTCAGAGAACACGAAGAAATCCACAGTTCAATATTCTTTTCTATTGATTTACCATTCTCTTTTGGCATCTGGGCTGGTCTTCTGAATCCTTCCTTAATATGGTCTGATTTGCTATGCTTATTGGCCTGGGATGTAAGCGCAGTTAAACTTAATCAAGCCTTTTAGGACAGAGTAAAATAACTACTCAAAAATATTATAATTCTACAGCTGTATTTGTCTAAGAGGATGCCAGAATGTGGTCTTGCTTGGCTAATTTTCATTTCACTCCTCTTCCAGAATTTACGATGCCTATTCCACTTTCTTCTTAAACCCGCAAGGTTTAATTAAGTGTCACAGAGTAAGCAAGGTGAGTTCCTGAGCGTGAACAGTGTTGCAGGATATCCTGGTGTGATTCCCAACTGCCCCTCCACAAAAAACTTTGCTTAGATCTTGGCAAGAAAACAAGTCTGTTGAAACTAACTTTTGTGTTTTCTTTCCTTTCAGTTCATGCCCTCCCAGCCACTTCAGAACAAGCTGAAAAACCTTGCCGTGGCCTCTTTGCTGGGCCTGGAGCTCTCAGACCAGAGGCCATCCCTTTTGCCGTGGCTAGTTAACAGCAAGGGGCATCAAGAGACTGTAGGGGATAGTTAAGCCTTGCCCCTCTTGTCAATACCTCTTTTGGTTCATCTGCCTGTATGGTAAGGAGGATGCCACTGAACAACCCATTGTATATCTGTGTTTCTTCTGTATAGTGTGGATGTTGCCCCATGTTGGTGCTGTTAATTGCACTAGTAAGTGCTGTAAAGATGATTGCAATCTAATATTGTACATAATAAAAAAAAGTTTACGTTGCAAGAATATCTATTTATTTATTATTTAAATTTATATACCGCCCTATCTCCCTTACGGGACTCAGGGCGGTGAACAGGCAATAATAAAAATCACAATAAATATTGAATAAAAAGCCTGCTCTAAAATACCCCATATAAAACCCCTAGCAAAGCCCAATCAAAACTACGCCAGGCCGGCCGCATGGAATAGATGGGTTTTCAAGGCTCG